GCAAACTGCTCAGCCACAATTCGGCCTATATATTGGATATTGTACCAAATTCTATAACTACCAAAATTTATAACAAATTTGATAAAATATATTGGGACTGCATACATCGGCAAAGGCGAGGTGAAGAAGTGTACTTGTGTGATTTAGTAAGTTATATAGACAGTGTGAACATTTGTGTACAGTTCAATTCCAATTTACAACAATAAAGCTGGGTTTGTTAAAACCTACAACTGTCATAAGTCCGAGCGTCCGCTGCATCACCGTGAGTCCTGCCGTTACACCAACCTGAGTGTACAGACGGCGTGTTCTATCGGCTGGAGCTACATTGAGCAACCATCTCTCGTGGACACAAGAGGTCCACTGGCGCCCAACCAATAACCAGAATAAAATTAAAAGAGAGATCGGTTACACTACCCGGATAATCGGAAGTCAACTGTACTGATTGCCTACACATGAAAACAAAATTTAATTAGCCTACGATCCATAACAATTTAATGCTGTAATTATATTTCCGTTATTAGTTAATCATCAAAAATGTAAGTGGTGTACGTCTGTGAATAAACTGAAATATTTATTACATTAGTGTCTTTCTCTTTCATTTATGCGGGCTATTCAAGGTTACGTCTGAGTGGGATTATAAAGTTTATAACCTACTAGTCGTCCGAACCCTCAGCCGATAAGGTTTCATTTACTTTATATTAGTTTAATGTATCTTATTCATAAGTTAGTTGTTCTATTGGCGATATGTTATTGAAAACATACCCCTGTAGCACGTCTGTTGGTGAGGACAAAAGAACTACCTTAACAGAAGGACTCTTTTGTTCAATTGCCTAGGATTGCTAGGACACTACACTACAGAACTTCCTTTGTATAGCATTTCGCTTAAGAGCTAAGCCCTATTGTTAAATCTTAAGGCAGGGCAAAGTCTAATGACACTACCTGTAATAACGGGGTTGACCGATGGCCTTAGAGATCCCTTTGTTACAAAGTTTAGGCGTGGGTCCCAAAATTAGGGGATCCAATCAAAAGCAAGGCTGTGCTGCAGGTACCCCTGGTTTTGGAGAGCAGAGGGTTTTTAGTCGTGTGTGCAGATGCTTCTTGGCGCTCTTCCCTTTTGGACATCAAGTAATTCGGTGCAAACTGCTCAGCCACAATTCGGCCTATATATTGGATATTGTACCAAATTCTATAACTACCAAAATTTATAACAAATTTGATAAAATATATTGGGACTGCATACATCGGCAAAGGCGAGGTGAAGAAGTGTACTTGTGTGATTTAGTAAGTTATATAGACAGTGTGAACATTTGTGTACAGTTCAATTCCAATTTACAACAATAAAGCTGGGTTTGTTAAAACCTACAACTGTCATAAGTCCGAGCGTCCGCTGCATCACCGTGAGTCCTGCCGTTACACCAACCTGAGTGTACAGACGGCGTGTTCTATCGGCTGGAGCTACATTGAGCAACCATCTCTCGTGGACACAAGAGGTCCACTGGCGCCCAACCAATAACCAGAATAAAATTAAAAGAGAGATCGGTTACACTACCCGGATAATCGGAAGTCAACTGTACTGATTGCCTACACATGAAAACAAAATTTAATTAGCCTACGATCCATAACAATTTAATGCTGTAATTATATTTAACTCACCATTTGTACATCTCAATTGTTTAAACACTTCGTTTTCATTCAATTGTTGCAGCGTGTTGATACATTGTTTACATTGTTGAATGTTTACTGACGTCATCAACAAAACTCCTGCAACACAGACGTGAAGAAACAGAACGGAACAGAGAACAGTCTGCAACCAACAATTTGAAAGAGAACATAATTTTATAAGGTAAGTGGCAACTGGCCTCCTGACTAAAACTTTGTTTGCATCTTTCATGTCCAAATTATAACTACAATTCACTTCGCAGCTAATGGCATGGTTCAGATATTAAGTGTAGAGAATTATTTTTCGTTATGAGCCGTTCAATCTCTCTTTTAACCTTTCAGATGGAAAATAACTTCACAGTTGATGCGAACAGCACCGAAGTCGCCAAAACCCTGGTTCCACTTCTTCAAATCGGAATTGCAATCGTGGCTATCTTTGCATTTCTCCTTCTACTTATCATATCCGCCTTTATAGCAAGCATTTATGAGCTATATCAGTAAGTACACTTGGATACTGTTTCAAACAACTATGATTTTAAGCATACGTTTAGAATTCTGAGAATATTTTTCATATTTAGCGATAAGAAAATGTCTAAATTAAAAGTCATAAAATTCGCTACAAAAAATCGGAACCACCTCCCAGAGTATTAATATAACAGCCAGGTGGCGTATCAATAATCTGGATTTTGCATGCAACACCGAAACGTCAGTCAACTTCTAAAGACTTTTCTATCCCGATGAAAAATCAGCCATATCACATTATTTATAAACTTCAAATGCAAATGCCTTTAATTTAGTACAAGTTCTTGTAGCTTCTAACCCTTTCGGTTATATTACTTTAAAATTAACTTTTCTAATGCGTCCGTAGTCTATTTGGAAGCCTGGACGTAAGCAAGAGTAGTGTGAGGTAAGAGGTCACTTCATCACCCACGCACAATAATATCCTTTATGTTTGTGATCTCAATCTGTGTTACAGGACCTCTCATGAATCACCAGATAATACGACATTGATTACGATAAGTGCAGTTTCCAACACAGAAATCACCAACAATTCCAACCCTAAAAGAACAGCACCAATAGCATTCGTAATACTAATGTTGATTCCAAACATTTTGAGGTGTCTACTCATGACATGTCTCGGGCTACAATTAATATATTCAGATCAAATTAAGTAAGTACACTTGCATACTCCTTAAAATATTTATGAAGGTAAGTATACGTTTTGAATTGCTAAGGAACGGAGAAAATTACGATTATTAATATTTTAAGATAAGAACACGTTTTAATTTAAAGACTAATAAAATTCGCTACAAGAATTTTGAAGCAGCTCACAGATGATTATTGTAACAGCCAAGTGGCGTAACTACAATCAGGATACTGCCCGCAACTTCGAAACGTCGCTCAACTTCTGAAGACTGTACGATTCAGTGTCAACCACGGCTGAAAAATATCTGTTCCAAAATCTGCTATATGTCATTAATTTTAAGCTCGAAATGCAAATGCCTTTAATTTAGTACAAGGTTTTGTAGCTTGTAAACGTTTCGGTTATATTACTTTAAAATTAACATTTTTAATGCGTCCGTACTGCAATTGGTTGCCTGGACATAAGCTAGAGTAGTATGAGCTAAGATGTCACCTCATCACCCACGCACAATAATCTCCTTTATCTCTGTGATCTCAATCTATGTTACAGGAGTACTGATAAATCACCACATAATTCGACACTGAGTACGATAAATGCACCTTCCAACACAGGAATCACCCACAATTCCACCACTAACAGTACATCACCAACTTATTTTACAAGTGCACAACTATCCCTGTCAATGATCGTAATATGGAGTATGGCCAGTGTGCTTGTACCAATCTTCATATATATCGTGTCAGTAGATATGTATATACACTTAAAAGAGTAAGTACACTTGCACATTGCTTAAAATATTTATGATCGTAAGGAGAAGTCTTGATTTCCTACAATACGAGGTGCGATCGGAAAGTTTCCAGACTGCGCCTATTATTATTATTATTATTAT